CAGCTAAGAGCAAGAAACTGAAGTTTGGAAGTTTGATTTGTCACAGACAACATGAAAGCATTGAGTCTCAGTTGTTCAGGCTTGTGGTGGTAGAAAATGGCACGGGGAAAACTTTCCTAGCACAGTTTGGGCTCCTTAGAAAAACTCGATAATAACACAAAGAATGTCTTAAAGCTCAGATCATTTCAAGATATTTTCTTGAACATGACTCATTAAATAGTTTCCACACTCACCAATTTCAATCCAGTAAAGCACCTTTGGGATGGATGGGCAGCAAATCTGCAGCAACTGTGTGATGCTATCATGTCAATATGGACCAAAGTCTCTGAGGAGTGTTTCCAGTACGTTGGATAATCAATGCCGTACTGGTATATTTCTATTATATATTTCTATTTCTAATCAGTACTCACTTTATGGTTACTAGACAACGACTCACACTGACTTCGGTACTCACCTGACTCTCCATACATCATCAAGAAGTACAATGGGGCCAAGTTATGAAAACAAATTTACCTTTTATTGGTGTAAATGTCCTTTACCTGTGTAAATGCACTTTTTACTTTTTTATACGCCAGAATTTAGTCATTTGCAACAAATTGTTATGTGGAGCTCTCGCCTATGGGTTGCACATCTCTGGGGGTTTTGGGACTCCACTTTGAGAACCAGTAATATCTGCTTCAAGGTAGTAATGCCAGTAATAGGTTTCAGAACCTCTACCAGCTTCACTCAGTAATTCTCTGCTGCTTCAGGTAACTGCTTTGTGTTTTATCATATGTACAAGCTTTATTAGATATCAGAGTGGTTGCATTGGTTATGACTAAGTCAGAAGTGACAGGAAACTGGCCTCTCTCAGCGTTATAGCTAGCTGTGTAAACACCTTCCTTTTCTCCTTACTTGCAAAGTGGCACTTCACTATGTTTATATAAAGCTTCTTGTATGAGTGAGCATCCCTATTGTCTTCACCGTGAGACCTTTATGAGCCACAAGGCTGCTGTTCTACAGCTTGCATGTACTCTTCTGAGTTACATAACTCAAGTCTTACTTTTACAAGTTTTCCAGTTGTCATATTTGCAGCACGACTTCTTCTCGGCTCAGAAATCCTGCATCATTTTTCTTGGGAAGGTTGGAAATATAAGTGACATGTCTATATTCACAAGAGTCAGGAAAACCAAGAAGCTAAAGCACAGCCTATATCAACTGTGGGTTTTAAATTTATACCAGCCCTGCCAATCAGAGGGAAGTCAAGGGTGGAATTGGAACTGGCAGCAAATTCAAATTCACACTGTCACAGCATAAAGGAGGAGTGCCGCAGGCTCTCTCTCAACCTACTGTCTCTCACAGTCAAGTCCTGCACTTGTTAAATCTTTTGACAAGAGGTATTATCTTCAAAGTGAAGATCTGCAGACTTGAGATTTTTTCTCAGCCACAGTAAACCCTAAGGATTCCCTTACAAAACAGAGATTTTAAGTAATAAAACCCCTAAGTTACACACAATGGGGCACTGTGATAGATTAGTAATTACAAAAGCCGTAATATTAAAAAAATTAAGAACATATCAATATTCTCAATAATAATAATAATTCATATAATGTAGTGTGTGTCCCCAAACCTCCTCCTGACATTTCAGCTGACAGTAGGTGCCTTATCACTGTCTATTAAGTGTAATTGTTCCTTTTTGTGACTTTCTGTAAAGTGATGGATATACACTCTCTCCATCTCCTGACAAAACGTTCGTGAAATTCATTTAACAGAAAAAAAGATGAATGACCTGAAGATGAATCCTATTTGTTCTTGTTCCAGTCAGTAATAGAAATAAATAATATAGTTGGTTGGTTTGGTCCAGGTCTTGTGCCACCAAGCAAAGACTCACTTACTGGGAGAAATACACTGGCTGGCACCTGCTCACTTGCTCAAATTAGTAGCAAATTAGTGCATTTAGGTATGTAGAAAGAAATGTTATAGATGAATTTGATTGTTTAATTATCTGTAGAGATCATGATAGTGTTTATTCTTGATTGTTGTTTTTGTTCAAATGATCTTAGGCTGTATCAGAAACCTTCCAGGTCTTAAAAGTGAAGTCTGTTTGGAAATGTCTTAGATCTGCACTCTTTGCAATACTCAGCAGGGGGTAAATTCTCCTAGATGCTGCTGGATAGAAGCCTCTTATTGACGCCTGATCCATGCCTTCAGTAAAAGGTTTCCTGATGAAGACCTTAATTGCTAATTTCAAGTTTTACTTAGTAAAGCATGTATTTTATTTAGGAACTTATGGTCCCTATCAATGTCCCGAAGAATGAGTGGGGTATGTTGACAAAGAGTGTTTATACACTCAGTTAGCACTTTATTAGGGATACCTTGCTAAAACTGTTTTGAGCCTACTTTTGCCTTCAGAACTGCTTCAATTGTTTGTGGCTTTGATTCAACAATTAGGTGCCAAGAAAATATCTCCCACGCCATTACACCACAACCAGCCTTTACCTGAATAAAATGTCACTGCATAAATCAAAACACCTCATCGGGTAATGATTTTGAAATCATCTGTTGTTCAGTTTTGGTGAGTGTGAGTTGTAGCCTGTTCTTAGCTGACAGGATTGGCACATGCTATATTCTTCTGCTGCTCTAGCCAATCTGGTTTAAGGTTCAATGTGTTCATTTTATGTGAGATGGTTTTGCATTAAGATCTCAGTAGATGAACAGTTTCTCAAATACTCCACCAATGCTAACAACCATGCCACACTGAAAGAGTCTTAAAACACCTTTCTTCCTCATTCTAATGCTCGACTTGAACTTGAACAGCAGGTCATCTTGACCGTATCTACGTGCCTGAATGCATTAAGTTGCTGCCATGTGACTGGCTGATTAAATATTTGCATTAACAAGGAGTTGAAGAAGGTGTACCTAATGAAGTGACCAGTCAATGTGTACATCTTGAAGCCCTAAACCTAAATTTTATTATTAATCAAGTTAGGGTATTAGTCAACAAAAATGAGAACTTATCCCAAAGGAAATAAGTCCAATTAAGCCCAGAAATCAAGACGTTTGTGTGTTTGTGTGTAGATTTGGTGTTTTTGCACATGGGACTGGACCATTTTGAATGATCAGTACTGACAGTACTATTTGTTGCATTACACAAATATAATGTTGGTTGTGGGTAGGCACAAACTTGAGACAACATATTGAATTATGTGTCATTCTTTAGCATTGTTTGATGAGTCAGTAAATGACCTGCATAATGTTAGTTTGTGTAATTCTTAATAAACCACAGTCGATAAGATTTGTGTGAACCAGGCATTATTTAATTGACACAACAGGAGCTGTGTACAGTGTTTTTATTCTGGGTAATCTCACGGGATGCTGGGAGGTATCAGACCCCATGTTTCCTTGAACCAGGCCATATTTGGATGTGTAAAGACACAGTGCTCTCTGAAAACAAGCCTTCTGTAAGGTGGTATTAAAATTGCGAGGTTTTCCTTGGCATATTTGTCTAATGTGGTGTAGTGCTGTGGAGAAATGTGAATGTTCTAGTAAATCCTAATAAAAAGAAATCTGCATTTTAAAGAATATTTTCCTGGTGGAACTATAAGTAGTATCCCCTTGTCTGTGGATATTATTCATCCATGTCCCTCTGTCCCTTCTAAGCCATATTTTTAGAGCACTTTCCTTAGAGACATTATTGTCTCTGGACCTGACATTTAATTATGAAAAGAATAATTAAAATGATGCATACAAAAAGCTGCACTTGTGCCTGAGATCAACTGGTGGCTCTGTGCTGATAAGTCCCTTTAAGTGACAAGAAAAAAGCCGCAGAAGCACTTGCTTGACAGTATGCAAGTGTCCCCTCCTGCAAAAGCTGATTGTCCCATCACATGTACAACATGCTGATAATGCATCCATCACAGCCAAAGCCTCATGGGGTCCAAGATGGAGCTCCATTTCTGCCTAATCATACGCAGCAGCTGCCAGGGTTGTCTACCCCTGCAGCCACCTTCTCTTTGCATCAAGAACAAACATCACCCCTATACTCCACTACCTCATAGTATACGACTTTAATGAGGCTTAATTTCAACACAAATCCTCCTCTTTTCCTCCTGTTTCTGTTCAAGTTTAGCCAAAGAAAGAGGACACGGTAGACTGCATTTATTACATCCTCACACTCAAATATCACGTATGTGTGTGTGCACGGTAACAATAACTCCTTCCACCCACACGTTACCCCCTCCCGTCCCCCTCCCCTTCTGAAAACCACAACCACCACCTCACACACACTGCTCCAGCGCCTTCAGTGGCTCACGTGCCACAGCACACTCCGCTGAATCCCACGCTTCAGAGGAAAAATTCTCCCCACACTGAAGTCCAGAGGGGCAGCAGAGTGTGGGGGTGTTATCCAGCTTTCAGGGAAATAGAGGATTTTGCTCTTTATCAATGTGATGATGCAGACTTAATTAGTAAAGATGAAGAAGCAGTACTGCTGGAATGCAATCGTGATTTGGAAGAATGAGATCAGAATCAGGCACGAGAACTCATGTTAATCTCTGTTTTATTAATGAGTTTGACAGGTTTAAGGATTTTAGGTGATTTGGTGAAAAGTCATATTCGTGCCTCTTAATTGTGTACCTTATATGCTCTTTAGTGTAGTATTTATATTCTTCTTTCACCTTGATTATGCTGTCTATCTTGTATTTATTGTCAAGATAATTCCAAGTCCCTTTTACAAAAGTCCTGAAGGAGAGTTTAAAAAGGAAAAAAGCCGTTTTGCGAGTTTAACATTTACAATAGTCAAAAATAAAAATATTTTTTTTATTTTTGAAAAAAACAAAAACAAAACAAGCACGATTATTTTGACCATATCTGCCATTTCCCGTTAAATGAGCTTAGTAATTTCTCATTTTAGCTTTAACTTATGCTCTTTTTTTTTTTTTTACTTTTACCCAGAAGAGGAGAGAAGAGAGAGATCAAGTAGCCCACACACTGTGCAGTGTGTGCGGAGGGGTGATGCCTCGGGAGCGCATCACAGGACACAAAACCCCACTGCAAGACGCAGTGCCAGAAGAGAGCAGCTTTGGCAAGAGAGCTTGTTTTCTGTAGATTAGAGTGGGGAGAAAGAAGGAAGTTAGTCCGTTAAAAAACTAACAAACATAGGTTTTCTATCATGTCGGAAGCCTCCTGAATATCTTTACCAAAGAGGAAACAATGTAGTTGAAAGAAAAGGGAATCTCCACCGGTGAAGAGATCCGGGGATGCATGGACACGGTTACGGGTGATTAGTGTAATTTTGCAGCTGCAAAATAAAGACTGGATATGCGCAGAAAAACTGGAGAGAAGTGAGTTTCGGGTGTCCACAGGATGGACACTGCGGAGGTAATTCTCTCGGTGCTGGTGGTTGTGATTATTATAGTGTCGCTGCTGTCCAACGTCCTGGTGCTGATTTGCTTTTTGTATAACCCGGAGATCCGCAAGCAAGTGCCCGGTCTGTTCAACCTCAACCTCACCTTCTGCAACTTGTTGCTCACCGTCTCCAGCATGCCGCTCACTTTGGTAGGACTTGTCAGTAAAGCTCAACCGGGGGGAGATGGCTTCTGCCATATCGTGGGCTTCTTGGAGACTTTCCTGTCCACGAACTCGATGCTGAGCATGGCAGCTCTGAGCATCGACAGGTGGATCGCGGTGGTGTTCCCCCTGAGGTACCACTCCAAAATGCGCCACAAAGACGCCGCTTTTGTGCTCGCGTACACGTGGGCGCACTCCATGTCCTTCTCCACGGTGGCCGCCTGTCTCTCCTGGGTTGGATACCACCGGCTTTACGCATCCTGCACCCTGTCCAACCCCAGAGCGAGCAATCGGACACAGTTTGTCGTCTTCACCATCTTTTTCCACTCTTTCACCTTTCTTCTGTCTTTCATAGTATTATGTGTCACATACCTCAAAGTACTTAAAGTAGCAAGGTTTCACTGTAAGAGGATCGACGTTATTACAATGCAAACTTTGGTGCTTCTAGTGGATATACACCCCAGGTGAGCTACTTTAAGTTATCAATCCTGCAACTATAACGTTATATGGTATAGCAATCTGGTATCTTTATATTTGTAAAGCTTGAAAAGTATTTAAAAATTAGTTTAAAGGAAGGGTTTAGCCTATTTTATTCTATCTAAAACAGCGAAGCTCACATATGAATTGAGTCCTCGCTCAAAATCTAATATAACTGAAATGTCATCTGGGGTGATTGCTTTATTCTGTCTCCGTGCAGAATAGCTCCCATGGAAATACTATACAATCTCTGAGTGTGTGTGTGTGTGGTTGAATAGCCTACTGCAGATTATAAATCCTGTTATTACTCACACAGATGACCTCTATTTCATGAAAAAAAAAATCTCCAAAGCAATGTGTCACCATGGCATCACAGCTGTGGTGCACTCAGGTATCACACAAAGCCATACAGGCACAGAGAAAATGATTAAACTGGAATTCTTAAAAGGGAGATCCCCACTTTGAGCCTTTAATTTGACCCAGTTGATTTACCTGAACTCACCCTATACTGGATCTCCCCATGCTTTACCCCTACATGACACCCACTCCCTGTTGTCTCATATTAACCCACTTTGCGGGCATCCCTCTTTATGTGTTTGCGCTTGTAGTGTTCGTCAGCGTTGTCTGGAGGAGCAGAAGAGGCGACGACAGAGAGCAACAAGGAAGATCAGCACCTTTATCGGCACCTTCATGCTCTGCTTTGCTCCCTATGTGATCACGAGGTGAGTAGTAGAGAGACTGGGTGACCAGAGGGAATCCATGCTGGACCACCATGCAGAGCATGCAACCCTTGGATACCTCCTTGCACTCCAGTCACAGATACCCATATCCCTCCCCTCCTGCTTCCTTTCTCTCTCCCCTCCGCTTCCTCCTCACACTGGCCAGAGCTGGAAGATGAGATTGGCTGACCTTGTGATAAGTAATATGCCTCTGCTCTGCTGTTGCTGCTGCTGCATTAGCACTTTTTCTCTTCAAGTTCGTGGGGTGCATATCAGTTTGTCAGGTAGAATCCACTCACATCCATCACTAAACAAAGACAGGATACCAAATAAGGCCTGTAGTGAGTGAGACACATAAGTCTTTGGCTTGCTTTCATGTGAGACATTTACTTTAATACAGTCAGACCCGCAAGCATTTGGACAATGAGAACCCACCACCACAACAGAATTTAAATCAAACAATCAAGATTGTTGTGATTGAAGTGCAGAATTTCAGCTTTAGATTAAGAGATTTGACAAAAGAATCTTTCTGCTTAGACCTGCTGCACTGTAAAGGGGTTGCTGTAAAATCTACAGCAACTACATGGCAGCTGGATGCCAGTAACTTACTGTAAATAAAACTCACAGTAGAAAAAAATAGAAGTAGACGTGATCTGAGTTAAATACAGTAGGCTTTGGCAGTAACCTGTTCTTTTATGTGGACAACAAGTGCTCCCAATTTATTGTGTTTTCAGTGGATAACAAAGCTTAGCTGCAAAAGTAGGTATGACCCCAAATTACTTTGTCATATCACCTAAGCCATAAGTTCTGGAGAATTTTCTTTCTCCTGGAAAAGCAGTTTTTCCCTCCTAACAATTTAACTGTAAATATAATTACAGTAGCCTATGTAATGTTACATCATGAGATTATATGTGCTGAAAGCTCTTGTGCTAACTGTGTATGTGTGTGTGCGATAAACAAAGATTTTGAAAAGTGGACTCTGCTTAAAATTGCTTTGGACCACTGCCTACCATTTCCCTAACATCTTTACTTCTACATAATGGGATGAAACCTACTAGCTGCATCTTCAACCAGTTTCCAAGAGGTTCGGTTTGGGGTATTCATTTCATGTTAAATTTTCCGATTTCCCCTGATCCTCTGCTTCGTGGAGTTCTAGCTTCTTCTGTGTTAACTCATGTGAGAAAACACCTTTGCATTTGTGTGGCGCTGTGACCAACATTCACTCGTTCTGTGGAGCGTGTGTGAACAAATGACAGGGATGGCTAGTAGCCCATGTAAGGCCTGTGATAATACGCTGACAGAGCTCTATTTTGGATGGCCTAATCATACAGAGTGCAAGTGTAGACAATCAGCGGTTTTATACAGCTTTATGATGGTTTAATAACTTACACTTCACACAAATGTGTCTAAAAGCAAAAACAAGTTGGGAGTGCCATGAACTGCTTTGAGATGTAGACCTCACAAGACTGTAAAGCTTATTAAGAGCTGCTTTAAATTAAATATTTATATTATATTATACACTAATGAGATGGTGTTTTTTTTTTGTTTTTTTTTACCAGACTGGAAGAATTCACTGTCTGACATTTTCTGCTCAGTCTTCAGTCTAATGTGGATGTCAGTTACAATCGAACTTTGTTCACAGACACTCATTACTGCTTATCTGTTTTACTCTTCTTTTGTCTTTTCTGGCTTTAAATACTGCTGACTGCAAATTAGAAATTAAATCTAATATAGCCCCACACTGTAAATCCACATTCATGACAGAAAGGTGGGGAAATTTTGTACTGTCATTTTACAGCTACCTACTTTTTTTCTTGTGGGTAGATGAGAAAAATAACTTTATACAAATATGTGCTTAATGGGATCCCTGTATTTATACAGAAGCAGAACATTTTCGTAAGTAACTCCCTGCTTATGGGGGAAAAAATAGAACACTGTGTTGCAAATGTATTTCAGTTTCTGCTCAATAAGCTTAAGGCATGCATGTCTTTTCCAGCATGTTGACTTGCCTTTCTACCACGCTCTCTCTCACCACCCTCTGTTTATGCTTCCCTGCAGGATCGTGGAGTTATTTCCAGCGGTGCCTATCAACCCTCACTGGGGAATTGTCTCCAAGTGCTTAGCTTACAGCAAGGCAGCTTGCGACCCATTTGTGTACTCCCTCCTCCGACACCAGTACAAGAAGACATGCACTGACATCATCAACAAGCTGCTGAAGCGCAGCTCCTTGAACGCGTCCGGACGCCAGCACGAGAGCCAGGTGAACAGCATACCCACCGTGGAGTGATGGGACGGTTAACCCGACAGCTGTCAGGGAAAAAAGAACCTAGTTTAGAGTCGATGAAGAAGTGGAATAAATTTTGGTAGTTCCTGTCCATGTCTGCTTGAATTTGGTCTACAAAAAAAGGAAAGAAAACAGAACAGACAAGGTCAACTCCCTGTACAGGAATACCACTGCGCTTTCATACCGAGTGCCCAGAACAGCAAATCAGTGCAGTGAACTTGCTGTGAGGACAAGAAAGAGCAGCAGATTCCATGTCCACCTGGAGAGACAGATGTGCTTACCCAGGATGAATGGCCACCTAAAAGTTTTATTATTTTAGGGTAGCTTACAGTCAGATATGAGATACAGTTTATTATATACAGATTTTGCAGTGTGTCTGTTTGTTTTGACATAACTGTAATATTCATTTTATCTTACAAAAAAGGGGGGAGGGTGGGCTGTTTGTGTGTTTTAGTCTGTGCAAAGTGTTTGCAGTAATTTATACATTAATTCTGTATGTAGCACTGAAGACTAGTCTAACCAAAACTTGACAAAGTAGAAGAACAAGTTCCCAAATTGTATTGTAGATGAAAACATACAGCAGACTGTGCACACTGCACAGGATGGCTCAGGTATAGCCCAGTCCGAATTAAGCAAATTCTTTGGGTATTTTTATTTTTCAATACATTATCTGGCTGTATTAGTACCACTGGATGTAAATATGTTTTGTTTTATGTGTACTGGCGTCGTTTATGCTTTAGCACCCATTTTAAGGACTTACTGATTTGTCCAAGCAGAGTTTTAGCAGAAAGAAAAAACCCTCAAACCGACTGCCTTTGCTGTCATGACTGACATGTGGCCCTCAGGTTGTTAAGTCAAGTGAAGCATGATCAACTGTATTTGCCTGGGTTTGTACTCACAGTCACAAGTGACCCGTAGAGACTGCTCGATGCTTTTTCACACATACAGGAAGGAAAATGCTCGGGACATGTCTTTTGGCAAAAAGATGAGATGATTTAATAGAGATGACAGCCACGGACACGAGAAAATATTAGAGAAAAGCACCTCTGGATGCAGAAATAATCAGTTTGAATGGGTGAAGTAAAAAAAGAAATATCTCTGAACAGCTAAGGCCAACTAAATGTGCAATGGTAATAGTTGAGAGCATCTTTACCACATAATATTATTAAAATCAGTCTGAATTACTGAATATGCTCAAAACAAGGTAAAATAATCCTAGCTAAGCTAAGCTAGGATTAATAACTTGGACCGCAAAACTAAATGATCCTAGTCTGTGATTCCTATTAGTCTTTTTTTTTTCTCAGATAACCTGAAGCAGCAGGTTTTCCAACTACTTTGCCAGGAAGTCAGCGACAGGTAAGAGCTAGTAGTGATAATAGATAAGTGGGCAGCTAAGCTACTAACACAGATATTAGATATTGAAACTGATGCAAGGACTAATAGAAGGACTCAATTGTATTTATAAATATAACATATTGTTGTCTTTGCTGATGAAAAGGTTTTTCTTTTAAATAATCACCTGAAAGCAGCAGAAGGCAGATGAAAATCATCCAGTGCCACTTATATTTGCATAAAGCTTTGGCAAATCATGATGGAAGGCACCAAGTAGAAATGATTATGACCTTATAAACTTTATTTAATGGAGACGTGCAACAAACAAGTCTCTAATAACACCAGGCTACCAGTTGGACCTTAACTTTAACCCACCTGTCCCACTAACCCTAAGTTATTTCATTTTTTTCTTGGTAAAGAGATAAAAAAAAAAAGAATAGTTTTAAGCAATTTATAATTATTTTGTTGGTTTGGTCCATTAAATCGAAACAAAAACATCCAAAGATATTTGATTTTATAGAAGACTTTTATAGAAGACAATAGAAAACCAGTTATATTTACTTGTTTACAGTACATTTTAATTTTTTTTGTCATGTGGAAACAAAATGCATTAAACTGTACATGTGACAGTGAGATAGGGAGTGAAAATGCAGTGCCAAAATGACTGATGATGCCCAGTGAGCTAAATATAAGCAGATGTAATTAATTTTCTAAAAGCAGAAAAGAAAACAAAAGAAGTGAAGGCTATTTTATGTAGGGTGTAAGGATTCATGATTTTACAAAGGAGAAACAGTTGTCTTGACTATATCATGCATTGTACGACGCTCTAAGACAGCTGATGCCTTAAATTCTATAATATGTTAGTTTTAAGTTTTTCAGACATATAGATATCTAGAATTATATTACTGGAATCAATAATTGCCTTATTCACTTCTGTTCATCAATGTTACTCGAAATCTGCTTCCTTTTTGTTATCCTCTAATTCTGATTTCCTGAAGTTCTCACTTGCCCACATTAAATGTTTCTCATAAATGATGACTAAAACGAAACTTAAAAGGATACATGTCGACATATTTAGATGAAAGGCAATGTGAAAAGTATTTTTGAGTCTTTTGATATATGTAAATGTAATTTATTGGGATAATTTATTGTATGTCTGAGTTTTACAGAATGTGCTGCTACAAATGCAAATGAAGTTTATCCTGTTGTGGATCGGTGGCAGTGAGTGGAGTGTAATATACCTCATTTTGTTTATCAGTGACTGACCTGACTGCCTAGAGTGTTTTGTTATGTACCTCCTGATTTATCAAACCATGGCTCGATGCTGCTGCTGCTAAAGATGGCTAAGATGACAAACTCACGATGTTGGTGGTGATGGGATGAATGCTTTTTCCATAATAATTTTTTTTTAATGGAGATTGTAATTGTTATGTTGGTAAAAATGACAAAGATGACTGTTTTAGATTTTAACCATGATGATTAAACTGATGACAACTGTTGTTGATGCGACAACAAAGAAACACTTGCTCTCACACTCACACCATCGTAACACAGCTCACACTTGCACATATAACTTTAGTTCTATTTGACATAATGGATAAGATGAATCCATAAGAGGTCTTCATGAAGCTTCTCAGCCTCTCGTAATGGAGTGTTTGTGTCTTTGTTCACAGACATAAACACTAGTGCATCTTAAAAAATTGAATATTGTGAAAAAGTCAAAAAATTTTGTGATTTAATTCAAAAAGGTAAAATTCACACAGTGAAATATTTCACGCTTTTTTGTTTTAATGTAGCTTTTTATGCTTTATAACTCATGACAATCAGAAACCCTGTATCTCAAATTACTAGAACATTTCCTTTAGTGTTTTGAGTATATTGCTTTTCAGACAGTGTCTTATTCACTACATGCAACCACAATCACAGGAAAGACTGCAGACTTTGCAGTTGTTCAGATGAAGGTCGTTAACACTCTCCACAAAGCACCTCAGAAGGTCGCTGCTAAAAAGGCTGGCTGTTCGCAGAATGCTGTATCAAAGCATATTAATGGAAAGTTGACCGGAATCGAAAAGCGCAGAAGGAAAAAGGTGCACAATCAACAGGGATGACTGCAGCCTTAAGAGGACTGACGTGCAAGGTTGATTCAAGAACTTGGGGAAGCTTTACAAGGAGTGGGCTGAGGATTGTGTCAGTGCATTAAGAGCTAGACACACAGAGCTCTTGAAAGGAGCTACAACTGATGCATTCCTAATATCAAGCCTGAACCAGAGATGTCAGAAGGGTCTTACCCAGGCTGAGGAGAAAAAGAACTGGACTGTTGCTCAGTCCAAAGTCTTTGAGTTGCTGAAGTTGGTGTCCGTATCTTATCAGGAGCCATATTTCTTTTCCTTCTTTTTTCCCTATTTTTTCTTTAACTTCCTGCTTTAGCAATAACAAGCAACAACTATTTGGTGAATAGATATAGGCCTTCTGTCTTGCTGTAACACAGCTCAAATGAATTGTGTTGTCACCAAGTGCTTTGACTTTAGGTAAGATGATTCAACGCCCAAGTTTATTTACAAAGCTTTAAAGGGAAAATTATCAGTTTGCTACAAAAGCAGCCCCTCCATAAATCTGTGCCTTGAGTCTCCAGTTTTTTTAGATTTTGAGAATGCATCTGTGTTGGACAGGAAGGGGAAAAAAGCAAGGGTTTGACGAGATGACTCTCATGTATCTGCGGCAATTCAGACTGCTACCACGAGCAATCAGTCTGAGTCACAGGGATGCCATTTTTTCTGTTCACACCACAATGCAGGTGGTAATGAAACAGCACCAGCTGACAGAGAAGGGCCTGGCTGTAAAACACTGATATTCTGTACACTGATTACCACCCCAGGAGCCAGTGATTATCTGCAGGTGGGTGGCACTGACCATCTAATACGGTTTAATGGTGGTTAGCTTCAGCCCACTCGGGCTTTTGGGGGGGTTTTCAGTGAGAAATATGCCACAAGTCAAAGTGAAAAGTAGACACCTCACACAAAAAGCAAAGCACAAAGCAAAAGAATATGTTGGGATCTTTTTTCCTCCATATGATCCTTTTGTTTAGGACTGGTTAGGTTAGGTTCAGACATAGGTAACATAGGTACGATTTGTAAAACTCAATTATTATAAGAGTTCAATTTTTAAATGTAACTCGGGATGATTATTATCTTCCTGTGTGAAAAACCCCAAAACATGTGGGGCTTATTCCTGCAGTTACCCTTTTCTTTCTCTCCCATATGCTACCACATGCTTTTTGTTTGACTATATTTTTATATATATAAAAAAAAAAATGTGTGACATATTCTCACTATGCTGCTATGTGTGGCTGCTGCAAGAATATACTTTCACTAAAATGATATATGTACTTGGCCTTTTTTTTGTTCCTTTGTTTTTCCTTTTTTATTACATCCTTACACATGCTTTCACTTATTTGTCTGATTACACTTTTTCAAAGAAGCCCATTGGACAAAAACATGAAGTGCTTTATTAGCAAGGTGTGCCCAGAGGTGTATCAAACAAATATACAAATCTGCTAATGAGCATCAATAACTTACCAATATAATAAAAGAATTTCACTAACACTTGTAAACTTTTTTTTAGGTTATAATGAACCATGCAGCAATTATTTCTCAGATTGCTGCACTGAAAATGTTCCTAAAGGTACCAAACAGCTAGCAGTCAGCTAGCAGCCAACCTGCCAATCAAAGCTGACCTACTTCTAATAATAGATCATGCACAGTGTACAGACTTTAAATTAAATTGTTATTTAAACAAAAAAAATCTGTTACCTTATAGTTTTCATAAAGTTGGTAATTAGCTATAATTACCAAAGTGGTTTTTGTTCCCATCTTGAATATGCTGTATTGCCAAAAGTATTCACTCACTGATCCATATCACTGAATTCAGGTTTTCCTGTCCCTTCCATGGTCAAGTACCTAGGCTCGCTGTCACGAGTGAAGTCCTGTGCAGCAGGTCCACTCATAAAATCTCCTTGCTACTAAATATTCTACAATCAACTGTTAGTTGTATTAGAACAAAGTGAAAGCAGTTGGGAATCACAGCAATTCAGCCACAAAGTGGTAGGCCATAGAGAGGGGTCATCGCACGCTGAGGCAGTGAGAGGTCGGCAACTTTCTGCAGAATCAATCACTAAAGACCTCCAAACTTTATGTGGCCTTCTGATTAGGTCAAGAACAGTGTGTAGAGCTTCATGGGATGGGTTTCCATGGTTGAGCAGTTGCATCCAAGCCTGACGTCACCAAGCGCAATGCAAAGTTTTGGATGTACTGGACTCTAGAGCAGTGGAGACGTCTTCTCTGAGTCACACATCTGCACCTGTCAGCCTGGGTTTGTTGGTGGCCAGGAGAAGTACTCGTCTGACTCCACTGTACCAAGTGTAAAGTTTATTGGGAGAGGGATTATGGTGTGGAATTGTTTTTCATGACTTGCCCCTTAGCTCCAGTGAAAAGAAATCTGTTTCAGCATACCAACAAATTTTGGACAATTTCATGCTCCCAACTTTGTGGGAACATTTTAACGATGGCCCCTCCTGTTCCAACATGACTGCACACCAGTGCACAAAGCAAGGTCCATAGAGACATAAATGAGCAAGGTTGGTGTGGAAGAACTTGACTGGCCGCCACAGAGTCCTGAATTCAACACGACAGAACACCCTTGGGATGAATTAGAATGAGCCAAGCCTTCTCTTCTAATATCAGTATTTGACCTGACAAATGCATGTCTGGAAGAATGGTCAAAAGTTCCTATAAATGCACTCTTTAACATTGTGGGAAGCCTTCCCATAAAAGTTGAAGCTCCAAAGGATGACCCAACATCATATTAAACCCTATGGAATAAGAATGGCATGTCATATGTAAGTGAATGCAGACAAAAGAATACTTTCCATTCTCGATTTGGGCATTCAATAAAAATAATTGACCATTGACACAGATCCAGCAAAAAGCATTAAAAGGCATTTATACGTTTTCCCTTAAGCTCACCTGACTATCATCATTGAAGTAACATTAAGTACAGTAGCCTACAAAACCTCCCAAGTATAGACATATAAGATTTTACTGACTACAGATCTTTCAGACTACCATCTGTGTGTGATCACTCCGTGCATTGTGGTAGTGGTTGCATTTGGTTTGCTCATAACCTGTGACATCTGTGCTGGAGCTGCTACAGTTTAAAAAGTGTATCTCACAGGGTGATAACCTCTTCTTGCAGTTTTTTTCTTTGTTTGTTTGCAACCTCCCACACGATACTTCACCACTACTCTGCTCAGTAAGAGGCCAAATGTAAAATCAAAGTCTCTCTGCAAATTTTGATGCCTTCTTCCAGAATAATGTGGCCATTGCAGCTTTGTTTAAAACATTTTAGTTGTCTGACTGCTCATGTTTCTTGCTTCATCAGACTTTGTCTTATTTTTTCAAATTGGCATTTACTTTCTTAAACAGGCTATGTAGCATATGACCAGGCATGAAGACTAAAGCCAACTAAATGAGACTTTCCGAAATATTTGTTTTATGCTCATTAAGGAAATGTAAACAAGGTATAATGTGTCCAGTAAAATGAATCCAGAGTTTACAAAACTTCTCAACCACCATTTCTTCATGGATGTGCTTCACTAGCAGGGACCACTCCCTTGGTAACGATGGGCGATGAGGGATGAGGAAGTGTGATTAGTGCTGCGGTTTGGGCAAGGCCTTGAAGGGGACTGGCGACGGCTCTCGGGCCGGACTGAAGGGGGGAAAGGAAGAGAGGAGAGGACAGGAGAAGAGAAGAGAGAAAAAGGGGGTACAGGGTGGGGCATGAAAATGAGAACAGCGGGTATTGGACAAGGGGGGCTTTTATAGGCTGAGGCCAGAGGGGGCGTGAAGGAGGAGTGGTCCTGCTCCTGAAATTCAGATGATATCTCCACTTGTCGCTATTAGATCAAAACCAGAGTGTCTAATCTGTCTCGGAGGCTCCAGAGAAGCAGAGGGGAGACAGGTTAAGAGCTGGTTTACCAAAGCTTTGTGACGTCTCACTCCTGTTACATCCAGAATGACGCTCTAACACTTCAAAGGCTGGACTGACTTCTGAAGAAGCACTGGCCTTTTAGCTTCTGGCAAGGTCAGCTGGTGCCTGTATTTTCCCACACATCTGCATGGTATCACAGCTGCTGGCCACAGCAGCTACACTGCACACACCCTACTTAACCTGTCACGATTTACACAGATTTTATCTCACAGGGATTGTCTGCTATCCATATAGAGAAAGTATCATTAGTTTGTCTTGTAAGTTATTACTATTCATGAACATCACCAGTATTTTATAATCAATGTCCAATGTCCCATTATTAACAAGTAACTTGCATCTTTAGGTGGATTCAGCAGCTGTTTGATTTAACATTTGCAAATACAGTAACATGCAAGACATTCAAAGGTAAGCATAGGAATGTAAATTAAGTACATAGTCAGCATTTAAAAAAAAAAACCCCAACTCTATATTCAAAGGTGTGGTGAACGGAAATAACCACATTTCTTATCTTACAGTAGAGAAAAGGGTCTTCACTTAAATCAAAGGCTGAACCCTGGTTCTGATTTTTTACAGAAGCAGCAACAAAAGCTGAGCTGGAGACTTCAAGTAATTAAAAACTTTAAATAGAGGTACAAAGAAGTGTAACTGTTCGATGTCTATAAAAAAAAAAGTACAAGTAACCATGTTGATCTTGGGTTGTTGGGATGATGAGATGGTGATCTTGCTCTGCCACTCAGTTGAGTTGAGTTTAAGACTAAAGAACAAAGAACTAATTAAATATTAGAATGAAGGCAGCGCCTTCAGTTTTCAGGCCCCTCTTCTCTGGAAACAGCTTCCAGTTTGGATTCGAGAGATAGTTATGCTGCAATAGGTGTAGACTGCTGGGGGATTCCCATGATGCATTGATGCACTGAGTGTTTCTTCTTCAGTCACCTTTTCCCACTCACTATGTGTTTACACACCTCTCTGCACTTTCCAGCCAATGGGATGGGTAATTTTTATAGTTATTATTAATCTCTGGCTCAGATGGCCACCCCTCCCTGAGCCTAGTTCTGCTGCAGGTTTCTTCCTGTTAAAAGGAGGGTTTTCCTTCCCACTGTCGCCAAAGCCTTTGCTCATAGGATGGAACCTTAGATTTACATCAACGATATACCAGTGAAAATTCAAACCAGTACTTGCAAGGTGTACCTATGAAATGACCCGTGAGTCTATATTCCCCCCTTCTGTAGCAGAAGTAAAACCACTCTGAGTGCTGTACAGTACAAATATATATATACTGTTTAGAAGCCCTGTGGTTTGTTTTAGTGGTTTTAAACTCTCCATCTCCCCATCTGCACATCATAAACATCTCTGTTTCATTTGCCATCATATAAATCCACAGAAAATACATCAAATTAACAAGCTCTGTTCTTCTATTCTCCAGTGCTCTGAGATGATGACAGGTTTGCGAGCCTCCGTTCAATAATCATTGAAGAACGACTTAAGAGGCTGAGGTCCTCCTCTAATTGCATGTTGGTCGAAGAAGAAGGCTGGTGTTGTTGTCAGAATAACCCAGTGATGTGTAAAAGCCCCAACAGAGTTCTGATAATTAGAGTCTTCCTACTCTGACACTCCTACGATGCACCGCTCGCCACTCCAGAAATCAAATTAGATGGTGCTTAAAATTAACCACAGTCATTACTACTACAGTATGTTATGGGACTGAAATGGAGTTCCATCAGGGAGTTTCAGTCAACAGGTGGAAGTAAAATGTTTCTCAGTTTGAAAATGAATCATACACATAACCTGCAACATCATAGTGAATCCCTTGTGGCTCAATCAGTTTACGATCTTGCTTTTTTTTTTAGTAGTATTTCAGTATTGAACTGCACTCCCCCTAAATTGCATGTTCGATGGGCTGAATGCTCGCCACTGCTGATGGATTCGGGGGTAGGTGTTTGCCTGTCAGTATGTGTTAGCACTCTGCTGGAATGATTATCTCCTATTGCCCAGTGGAGACAACATCCAACTCATATTGCCTTGGCAGGAATCAGTGTCTAAAAAGGAAATTTAACAGAGGTGTCTTTACTTACTTACATATGCTTATAGAATCACTGGTATTAAGAAGCAATGACATAGTACAGTAGTTGCAGCAGAAATAAAATGCCTGGTATATCCAAAAGGGTTTTGTCTTTCATCTAATTTTTCCTTTCATGATTTCTGTATAGTGTTGAACTTTTATATGACTTCATAATAATAAGGTTTTAACTCATGCATGTTTTATTGCATGATCGCTTTGAGTGACAGGTAGCTGTCATCAAGCTGTCGTCTGTCTTCGAGCATCAAAGTTATTTGAGTCACTGAACTGGGCCTTCTGACCGTTCTTGTGATGCTGCTCACATCTGAAGACTTTTTAATGTATTTTTAAGTTTTTTAATTAAATTATCTGACAAGCAGTTTTTTTTACTGGCACATATCCATGCTACAGTATTGTTTGGCCTGTTTTAGCAACTTTATACTGTAATAATATATCCTGATAGTTGAGAATTTATCAAGCTGAACTACTTTAGAAACTAAAGTGATACACTGTTTTCATAAGCTATTATAGTTGATATATTATGTCTGATTTATCCACATATTATTATGTGCATACATGCTAAACGTGGTTAATTTTAGCCCACTGCTAAGTTGTTGCTAGGCAGCATGATGACATCATATTATCAGATATAGATAAGAACCTTCAGGTGCTTAAGATGAACCTGTGTGTCAAGCTTGGTTGCTCAGCTCCTGATCTCTAGGGAGAGTTCACCACACAGACAGACTTCTATAATATTGTGTATTATAGAAGATTTGAGTAGTAATAAACAGAGAGATCATGTAGAGATCATGGATCACCCATGCCCTTTCCAAGCTATATGACCACTTCTGGCAAGATGGCAGTAATCAACGGTGATGATTTTATGGTTTATAATGATTGCTGTGAAATTTTAATTTCTTATAACAAATACTTAGAATACTTAGATATATATGTACAAAAAATTACATTTTTGCATTTTTTATACCTCTTTGAATGTTTTAAACGTCACCTGAACCCCCACCCCCCACCTAAGGCAATGTGCATATTTTTGTAAATGAAAGAATCCATCTGTTTAGCCCAATTACTTTCCCTTATTTCTAATTATAGAATCATCTGGGTACTCCAGTTGGTTCTATTTGGATTAGACTATATTGATATTTTTGTTTTTGTAGTAGAGTCTGCTCAGCATGAAAATAAGAGCATTTTCTTAATTTCTGTTTCTATATGTAAGAAATTGTCTCTAGGGTTTTTTTTTGATATGTCTCTCCAAAATTACAGATTCTAATATGTAACTTTTTTCAGGATGTCTCATGCAAATTATTAGAAGCTTAAAGTTTTATACATGTGGTGACAGGCATAATGACTTGCAAAAATCTGTATTAAAAAGATGTTACACAGTTTGGCTTCCTGAGTTGAATTCACACACAACATAATCAGCTGAACGAGTTCACTTTGTGCAAAACACAGCTTTTATTTTAATAACTAAAAGAAACGTGTATAAAACAGAATCAATGACAAACAAAGGTCACTAAGTCCACAAGCTTTTTAAGGACTCAACATTATACAGATGTTGGTAATAAAGCTTTTATAACTGTTTATATAACTGTGTTACATAAGTTATTAATGTGCATAATGACATTCATGGTAGTTCCTCACAGTGGCTTAAATTTCTATTGTCATTTATTAAAGAAAAAAATAGCTCTAATATGATGACAATCTCTTATCTGCTGTTATAGCTAATGCCACAAGATTTGCCCTATTAACAAACTTGACCTTCCACCAAATGAAAAGCATAAATGTTTCCCGTTGAGATGAGAGAAAAGTTGATGATGACAGTGAGTGCAAAGAAGCTCTAACCAAACAAGAAATCAAATAGAGTGCCCCGTTTAAATTAATCCACATTTTTAGTCTCAAAACACTAATTCCACTGACAGCACTCAGAAGGAATCTGACACAGGTCCAAACCCAGGCTTGGCCTTCACCGCCGTCTGATCAGAGCAGATGTTTCTTTTTAATTCTTCCTCCAGCTACCTCATACGGTCATTATGTTCCCAGACGTCTCCTTCTGGACCTCCGAGCCGCAAGCTGCCTCATGGGCAATTTGATGGGTTGCTTTTTGAATTTTTCCATTATTTCTTTAATTCGTGACATGTTGGTGCGGCCAATGGTGAAGTCGCAACGGGTGGCACCCATCTCATAGCCCACCTCACACTTCTTGCTCAGGAGGCTGTATCCCTCAGCCCTCGCTGTTACTCTGTACTCCCCTGGGTTCAGCAGGCGCCAGTAATCACCGTCAGCAGCTGAAGACACAAATACTGAAAATTAACTTTGTTCGTAGGAAAGTGCTGTAGCTGTCATGGCTATCACTGAGTAAAGAGGTGAGCAGATTTTAGAGATACTAAGCACTTAGTGCTATCAAAATTAATATGTTAGCATCTGCGATTAAATGAATAACTTTGAGATAGTGTTCATCTGTTGTTTTTAGGCTTCCCAATTCTTTCATCTTTCATTTCTCCAGCTTCATCAAGTTTTTTAAGGACACACTGCATACAGTACTGTGACAGGTTTCTAGGTAATAACTCTTTGGGAATCACCTTGTTGGCACCAAAATACTTTTTTCATGTCTGTAAAACTGTGTTATTGTTGGCATTTTTTGGCATATTCAACAAAATAAATAGCAACACATTTTGTTTTTAGTTTTTTTGACAGGCTGGTAGAGTATCAAAGTGTCTAAAGATACAAGTTCCTTTTCTTCCCTTTGCTAAATTGTTTAAGTACAGACACAACACTGGTTCCTCCCTTGAGTTAGGTAACTTTTTAAACTTGAATGAGTCACAGGTCAGTGTTAGGTGGCTTAACAAACAATGCAACACCATCCATCCATCAATTTTCTTCCACTTATCCAATTAAGTGTTACGGGAAGCTGGAGGTGATTCCAGCTGCCATAGGGCGAGAAGCAGGGTTCACCTTGGACAGGTTGCCAGTCTATCACAGGGCTAACACAGGAAACGATTCACACCTACGGGCAATTTAGAATCACCAGTTAATTTAACCTTACAAATTGCATGTTGTTGGCCTCTAGGAGGAGGCCAGAGTACCTGGAGCAAACCTTGGGGTGCGTACATGGAGAAATCACACAGAAAGGTCTCAGCCCAGCCAGAATTTTAAAAAGCAAAACAAACAAACAAAAAAAATAATAATAAGAAAACAGGTTCCTCTGAAAATGGTCGGCTATAAGGACTGTATGGAAAATGAGTGAAAAAGCATGTTCATAGAAAAACCTTCTGAAATGTTCTGAAAGCCTGGAAAACTACCATTAAAGACCACCTAAAAATTATCCGTGGAAACAAAATATAAAGAAATGACAGGTGGCTCAAGACTATTGCACAGTACTGTATATGTCAAAAAAAAAAAGGAACATATGTCCATTTTAAGATTCTATAGAAAACTTTGTTCTCTTCAATGTTTTGCTTGATTTTACCTTAATTATGACTTTCAGTCTTAAAAAGAGAAAAACTTGCAATTATCACCTTTAATTAATGGAAATAGTGCAATTATTTAGTTACTTTTTATCAGTTGACAGGACTTTGATCTGCTTGTGCATACTTGCCATACAGCCAAATTATTATTCCCTTCAGTTATACTGTTGGCTAACCAGTTTCTTTTCTTTCTTTTTTTCAAAAGCACGATGAGCACATTGATCAGAAGTGGTAAATTAGCTAATAACATCTTAATTGCTTGAGAAAAATATGCACCAACTCAGCAGTTCATCATAGAAGCTGACACTTAATGAATTTAAGTCTTTTAGATCCAGAGTTTTGCAATGCCCTTTCCATCTTTAGGCTTCCCCCCCGAGTGGCTTCATTTTTCTAATCCAGTCACTACGTCCATCTTTAATATACAGGCCATGATATAAAGCTGAAGCATAAATTATGGTGAAATTGATTTCTACAGTCTTGGCACAGCCATGAGTAAGACATTTTACTATATGTGATGCACCCTTAAGTGTTTTACATATTATGGACTGTGGAAACACATTAAAGCACACTATTTTTGCCACAGTTGCAAAATGCAGATTCTGTCCTAGAAATCTGAATTTGAACAGCCCAGTAAGCAGTGGCAGAAAAACAAGCATCATAAAAGCCTTCATTTGATGCCTAAAATAAATGTTGGCGAGTTCTGTGTGTTCTACTTTTGACGAGGTAGGTGTTGTGTAAAAGTAGAAAGAAGCTCTTTTAAAAGGAGCTCTGCTTTGTCGTGTTGGGTTTTCTTGGTCTCTCTGTGCCAAATACTGCCTTTACGTGACCTCAGTACACCGGTGCGCCTATGGAATATTTTCGGCCTTTGACTCACTCACAAAAATGACAGTGTTGCGTCCCTCCTGCCATCCAAACACCCACCTGACGCGTCTGACCAACCACTGAGACAAATGAAATATGAAGGCAGGTCTGGTTCTGCTGCTGTCAGTCCAAATAGTTACACAACAGCATCCATGCTCATATTACTAGATGGAAGAAGAGAACTGAATTGTTTTCTGAAGTCACTGCATGAAAAATGCAATGGAACTAGAGTGTATTTCCATTATCTATTGGATATCAGTGTATCAGCAGTACCAAAACTTTTTGTCATGTCTTCTTGGTGACTACAGCTGTTTCATCTTGATAAGCGAGAAACCGCCTTGCAAACGCCTTTTTCTAAAGGTCCATAAAGTTCCAAAGGAAATTCAAAGCAGCTGAAAAGGTACAATCATCAAAGTAAATACCCTCACATCTTTCCTCTCTGCAGCTGAGAATAGCGAGAATCCTAAGAGGAAGCGCTGACTTAAACTTAGTTCCAGGAATAATAATGGCCAATGTCCTTTTGAACATTTGATTTCATGCTCTAAGTACAAAACTACTTTGGCTTGGAAAGCTGCATTTTTTAGGCATCAGAATAGATTGCCTTGAGGACTTGCACTTGATTGTTAAATTCGGAGCAGGAGGCCTCGGCAGCACAGGCTATGACTGTGAATTGAGTCAGAGCTCCGCTAAAATACACAACCTGCTTTTGTTTGTGCCTTTTATCCCGTCTTATACCGAAATACCAACTCGTTGCAAGAATGATTCATTTCTGAGGAATAAGCTGGACTGTGGAGACAGTTGAGTCAGAGCGCCCCGAGGCAGCTTCTTCTGCTTTGATTGCAAAATCTGAGCTTACTCGCAAAAAATTTCAGATGAATGCAAAAACGCTGCTGCAAAACAGACGCTGACAGCTACCCAGGTCCAGACAATTGGAAGGGGGGTTTCTTGTAAATATGTTTACTTTGTACTGGGTTACTAGCTTAAACCATTAACCGTTAATGACTCAGAGTACACACAGAGATCAACAGTTAGTAGCTACAGCTATTGCATGAGCTAATGGGGATCTCAAAAAACTAAAACTAAGAAATGGCCTTTCATTTAGATGTCAAGCACACACATATAAAGTGGCAGACAAATAACAAATAAACACACAGCTCACAGGCAACTTTGTAGCACCAGTCACAAGGACAATATTTTTCCATGTTTACACACATACAGAGGATAGACTGAATAATAACCTCACTGTCACAGTAATAAGAATCAGGTAAAAGCAGCATGATACCTGTACGAATGTCATGGTTGATGCCCTCCACAGAGATGATGGCATTAGCTATTCCACGACCCTGGTGGTCCTTGACTACACCTTTGATCCCACGGTGCACCTGTACGTGGAAGCATGGCACATGTCATTTAATGATGTGAAGTGTACCGCATGTTGACAGTTAAGGATTCTATAATATAGTTCCACCTCATGTAGCACCGATATTCAAATAACAGCTAGCTAAACCTATATTTGACAACAGCATTGATTTAGTATAAGACAGTTATGGTATTGATATAACATTAGTAAATTAAAACCATGTACATTATAAAAAAGCTCTAAAATATTAAAAATGTTTAAGTGCCTTTATTGGTTATTTGTTAAGTTTTTTATGTACATGTGTGAAATTTAGGGGCTCCTTTGCCTCTGTACCTGCTCCATGAATACAAGAAGAGACTCGCGATTGTTCTCCCACTCCTCAGGCAGGTCACTCTCATGAGGAAATTTGTCACAACCCACATACATCGACAGCTCAAAGCAATTTGTGTGCAGATAGCTGAAATCATTCATACCTGCCAAGAAAAAGAGACAGCAGAAGCTGGCCAGATCTGTGAAATTAGAAGTGGGCTTAAAAAAGCCTTTCATTATTCTTTGTTTGTCTGTGAATTATTACATAATGCTTTGGCTAAAACCTAGAAGCTCTGAAAGCAGAAGTTTTCCAAATATGCAGATATATGCTAACAAAAAGCCACAGCTCAAAGGCTCAGAGCTGAGCAGAGAAATCCACCCTCCAGATATGGACACTAACTGCCGGCTGCGGTGTGCCAGGATGCGCCGTTGATGGTGCCATCCTCCTTGGCAAAATCTTGTGTGTGGCAGACCCGTCGGTTGGCATCAGTCATCAGACGGTGGGTGGACGCGTAGGAGAAGGCCAGCCAGCAGAAGATGTGGTCATCTGGGGTCGGGGTTTGCTCCATGACCACCCCTTGGGAGCGAGTTCTGTCATACGGGAAGGTCACCACAAGCTCCCCACCCTGGAGGTTACCACCCAACACGAAGGGCATCTTCTCCATCCATGCTATCAGAGCTCGTGTCTCCAAGGCAACCTACAGGCGGGAGGGGATACAGGAAAGGGAATGATAATGTACTTCATGCAATCGTCTCGGCACAGTCACTAAATAAAAAATCACTCATGCTGAAAACAATTTGCTGCAATGTGCTGTCAAGAGGGAGTAATAACAATATTTAAATGTTAAAATACTGCAGTAGAATTTTAGTAAAATCCACTTTAAAAAGTGGACAAATATTCATCAAGAGGCAGGAAATTGATAAAATTGCCCCTGCTGTTCAAGCTCATGTAACCCCTTTTATCTCCAAGCACAGGCTGAACCAGTTAGCCAGGCAGGCAAGGATAGTTTTCACAGCTTTGTGAGCACAGATGGGGATCCCAGCTCTACAGCTGCAGCAGCTATTCTGGAGGCTTTGTATGACTCACTCGGGGCTCTCACCAACGTCAAAACACTCGTGAGGATGAGCTTTAAATAGATTGCTGGGTATATTTTAGCTCACAGCCCCTTTGTCGTCACACAGCGAATGCATCCGCTTCTCCCAAAATAGACAGCACTGATATGCCCCCGTGAAATGTTTACCCTTTTCAAAAGACTGATAATCTTCTCTATGAAATTTGTTTGTTACGCTTCTAGGGAGTCCAAGACAAAAATACAGTGTCAGAATTTGTCACCTGAGGGAAAAGTCACTGGAAACCAAATGGCAATCACAATTTAAAAGACAGACTATCACGGGGAAGATTTACTGACTTACTGAGGCATTTGTGGACTGGTACCAATCTGGGATGGCGATATGGTGGTTGAACATTTTACGAGGAGCCCACTTCTTTGCCTCACCTGCCCACAGAATAGCGTTAAGATCAGGAAAGTTATGGTGAATGTCGATTCCATCGTTGCTCCATCGACCCAGAGACCAGCCGATGAGCTCGGAGCCCTGCGTAAAACAAAAGAAAACCACAATATTTGGGAAATTCAAAGACAGTGGGAACACAAATCTATGATCACAGATGGAATTCTGTCAGCGGCGGAGGTGGGAAGTATGGAGTTATCATTAAGAGGCTTAGCAGAGGTATCAAGCCAGGCACAGGAGGGGCAGGGGCTGCAGAGACTGATCAAAAAATCCTGTGGTCCATCCACACAGTTTGCCAAACAAACAACATGCTGTCGAGTGGAAGGTCATCACCTGCAAGCAAAAAGGGCTTAAAGCTGCTTTAATTGTTTTTTTTTTTTATCACTGCAACACAGTTTAAAGCATCCTTAATAGAAATTTATGGAAGATATCTGCCCCTCCCTACCTTCTTGTATGCCAAAACAGCATTTTGGGGCAAAGTCGCCATGCTTTTATTTGACTGATGATCCATGCAGCTTTAAACCCATCAAAATTAAAGTTAGTGGTCTTGTATGCCAAAATATATGATCAGAACTGGTGGCTGCCGAGTGCCATGGCAACTGATTTTTATTTGACAATATAAAGCCTAAATTTTTCATCTGTGTTCCGAGCTTGGTTAACCCATTTGTTACATCTTTCTTTTTGATCATTGCTTGTTTGGGAGTGGACACTGATAGTGTTTGCTGAAACTAATTAGCTATGGTTTGATGAGACTTGGGGCTAGCAGGAGCCAACTCAAACTTAAAGGGTATGTAGAGCCACAGGACCAAATGCTAAGCTGAGATGCAGCAAATGAATGCAGCAGTTTTCATGTTACATAAGATTTTAATACACTGAACAAAATAAACTGTGATCCAAGAAACTATTTTTAAAAAGTCAAGTTTGAAAAAAGCACTAAAACTTTATAATACAGCCCACAACTAAGGGCATAATCCCCTATAATTAAATGCCATGTCAACATATTTTATTTGAAATTATAATGTAATTATATTTATCTACAAATACCTAAAGGTAGGTACACTAGAATAAGGGGGTAAAAAGTCTAATTTTTACAGGAAACAAAGAAATAATTGTAATGTAAGTAATTGTAAGTAATCGTAGGGCTTTTGCAACTGTTGTTGTAATTTGGCTTTGTATAAATACCATAAAAAGCTTTAATCCATGGCTCCACAGTGTAGTAGTCATTCACCTAACAAGCTAAAGTTCCCTTGTTTTATCCTGGGAGGAGACACAATTCCCTTTGGAATTGCATCAGAAAGGGCAGCTGGCGTAAATAAATCTGTCAAATCAAACATACACAGCTACCTGCTGTGCCAACCCCTGGTGAATAAGTGAGCTACCAAAAGTAGCTTCTTCTTAAAAAAAAACTTTAATCACTTTAATCAGTCAGGAAAACACGATAACTTTTAAAAAACTGGCTTGCCTGCTGCCTTTATGTAAGCGTCACAGGGTTCAGTAGCTTCATCTCTTTTAACTTTGCATGTACTGAAGTAAGACATGACACTGAAACTGGTTGTTAGCTTTTGTGAAAAGTGTGTTACAGTATGCACTCACATTGTTCATTTTCTGTACATCAGTCAAACTAATTTTCCAGCACCGCATGCACTTTTATTAGGAGGAGACCAAGCAGAGAGATGCTGCTTTCACCAGAGGCCAGATCGTGGTATGAGGTCACAAATGGCTGTCTTGCAGACCTACCACTTCAAAGGCTTTCTCGTACCCATCAGGGTTGACAGATGGCAGTAGATGGATTCTAGTCTCTTCCACCAGGTGACGTATCCGCTGGTTGCCAGATAGGTACTCCAGGCACATGAACTGCATCAGCAGGAGGAGCAGTTCTCGTCCCAACACCTCATTACCATGCAATCCTGCCGTGTAACGAAACTCTGGTTCGCCTAATCAACAGTTTCACATTAAGGGAGAGATGGAGAGAGAGAACAGATGGAAATTTATAGAGCCATCACTACAGCTGTAGAAAGAAAATAACTCTTAGGAACACTGTGTGTCTTTGATGTTCCTTTTTTTTTGCATTATGTTCAGCAATCATAATCCACTTACTTAACTACTCACCAACTTCATGTTCTCCCGGATTGTCCGAGATCTCGATCGCATACAATTTGAGGCCACTCTGACTTTTTCCTATGTTATAGATCCGGGTTATGTTGGGACACATTTCATTAACCACCTTCATAAGCTGTGGAAAGCAAATAATGAGGCATTAGCTACTGATACTCTATATAGAATCTGACCTAAATGTGAGAGCTAATATCTACTGCAGAACTCACATTATCTTTGGGGCTCCGAAAAACTACTTTCAGTACAAGAGATCAAAAAATACATTTATTTAAAAAGCTAGGTGGAATTTTTGTGGTATTTACAGTTGAGATGCAAAATTTTCAAAGTCACAGAAGTGCTCAGAGGGACAGAAAATCACGCTACATCAGTCATTTCATGACAAGAGAACAGCTGTCATCTTCTGAAAGCTGCCCAACAAGCGAGCAAATCGACCTTGAGTTGAGATTGTTTTGACAACTGCTGTTTTCAAGATAATGAGCAAACTGTTAGGCTCACCATATGCACTAGTTTAAAGTTTCACATTTTTCAATCAGAAAATGGTGACGAGTGGGTTTGGTCACAAATTTGTCTGCTTCTTCACATTTGTCTGAGGAAACAGATAAAGCTTGTTTTGAGGTGCATGGGTTATGTTGTATATCATAACTGCAAATGCCTCCTACATGTTGTAACCTGGCATGCACCTCATTGGAAATTTCACGTCTGCATGCCAGGTTACAGACTATAAAGACCCATCACTTAAATCTAAATCAATAGTTACACTAAGTTTCTTAAATGTCCACTGAGAGCTGGCATCCAGAAGCGAGTTAATCTGCATACGTTTGCTTAAAATATTCAAATGTAATGATTAAATTAACAAATTAGCACATATTAAAAATATATATTTTTGGTTTAAACAAAGTTTAAGCAGAGTGATGCCTTGGCTGTTCGCAAGAGGTCACCTTAGCTAATTCACTGAACTGGGCCTCTCTAGTTTGAGGTTTATTGCTAACAATTTGTTCAAGAGCACTAATTCTATCTATCTATCTATCTATCTATCTATCTATCTATCTATCTTAATAATAATAATGGCCTTGCTTAGTTGTAAGAACATGTGCACATATCCTTAAAGCGAAAATATAAAAATAAATGACACTCCAGAAACACATTCTCCAGTGCTGTGTTAAAGCCCTTATTTGATAACACTGTAGCCAGTGTGAGGGGCTTTGCAGCAGCAGTCAAGGCAATTATGAAGCCTGCAAGAAAAGCCCATTGAATGTCCCCCACAGAGGCAGATTAAAATAGAAACAATTATTGTATACTCCTCTTTGTAAGAGTGGTGACACAAAGAACATGTGCAGTTGGAGAAAGACTAACTAGCTGTTAAGTAAAGAAACCCCAGTAATGTCATTTGTGTGTTCTAGCTGTTTCAGCTGCAGCAGAAGTTATTAGCAGGTCATGGGGTTTAAATCAAGTCTGTGTTTAACGTAACTTCTCATGTAAATCATTAAACAAACGTCTGCTTTTTATTGATAGAAATATAGGATCCTAAGTCTCAGCTCAATAAAGCACAGCATGCCCTTGATAAATAAACCTGGGCTGTTATTTACCATGATCACTGGGGGACATTCTGCCTTAGAAGAAGGAATCTTTTGCCAATTCTCTGTCATTTTTTTTTTTACAGAAACATAATAAAACAGAACGCAGCGCATGCTACATGCTTAAACTTTCTACTTACGCTAATGCTGTTATTAAAGAGAAGCATCTCTGCCACCGTGTTCTCGGGCGATATTAATTTAGAGTGTGAAAAGTGCTCTTTCCTCACCATTTATAATGTCTTTTCACTGTCTGTGTTTGGCAATATCAGTAATCCCAAGGGCGCTGTATTATAATCAGCCGTGGTCCACGTAAAAGGACAGTCCTTGAGCATCATAACGGATATCTTTTTCATTCCCTTCATTGGACACGTGCTTTATTCGGGAAGCCGCAAAGGGCTATTTCCAATTTAAGCAGCAACAGATGAAGGGGAGATATGGTACATACAAGAAGAAGCAAAATGCCAAGGGTGCAAGAGCCCTACAAAAGGAGTTTTAAAAATAGCCATTGCTTTCTTTATGGAGGCCTATTGGTGCTTGAACTCCCTGTGTGAGACACGTTAGCTTTAAAAGAAAAGAAAGCAAAGAAAAGCAGAAACTTTGATATTTCTATAATATAATTTCAGGCACTCACAGCAGCTTTCTAAAGACCCATACATAGCAGTCTGAGTGTGCTAAAGAGTAGTTCAGAGCACCTGTAGTCGAATGTTTGACACATAGAACTGCTACATTAGAGACTATTACAATTCGCAGTCACGCTGGCAGAGTGTACGCAGTGACAAATACAGCTGTCCTCCTTCTCAGTACAAACTAGGCTTCTGCTCTTGACAACTATATGAATAAGTAATGTCACAAGCAGAGATGCTTTATGAATTTTTATGTGGCTGGCTCTGTTCGCTTCATTTGTTACACTTGTACACTTTGTTCTTGCAAAGGACACAACTTGTCTAGTGTTGGCTCGAAGTTATACGCCATTTTTATTGCTTCACGCTCTGGTCTGAATAAGAAATAGGTTGAGTCTTTTCTCTTTTTTTACTACTGGTCTGCTTACTGTAACTCACCTGCCTCATTTCTTTGTAGCTGTGATGTCTGAAGTCCAAGTCATCTGTTGTTGTGACTTCATTGCGTCTGTGATAATAATTATTTGGATCTGGAATCAGAAGACATACAGTTACTGGTTTTTAAAGATTAAAAAGCTTCAGAACGATTTAAAATTTGCTCTCTTGGTTTCAGTTTAGGTTTAGCCTGTGCAAAGTGAAAACATTTTCTTTCTAGTCTTGTCCTGTCTTTTGCACCAACAGTGTCATGATTACTGTGGATAATCTCTGCGGATAGAAAACCTTTAACTGGGAAAAGCAAAATCTGCCCTGCAAGAGAAATTAAGGACTAATTGTATCTGCTTTGTCCATACAAACCCGTCACCTGGCATAGGACAACCAAGGATCTCCACTCGCATACAGATGCTGCCCCTTGTAAACCAAGAGCGAGGGTTAATTCGAATGTATCGACTGACCACAGGTTCTGGGAAGATGTTCCGGACTGGGATCTCTTTTTCCCTGTTGCCCTTGAATATCTACTGAGACAAAAAGAGAGACTTACATAAAATAAATGCTAAAGAGGCTTTTAAAATATTAAAAAAGAAACAACCCAAATATTATAAATATAAATACTTATTAAAAGAAAAAGAGGTTGTACAGTTAGAACCTGCAAAGACCAACAAAAAATTTAAAAACACATATAAATGCACCTGTACAATGTTATGAAACTTTGATACCACTGGGAGTTTATTGTAAATTTTAACGCCCACGGTTGGAGCTTTCATCCGCACCTTGTGGCATTTTGAAATACCAACAGAACAGTTTGGCATTTGGCACAAAAGGTGGGTGAGAGGGAGGCTTGTAGCAGACATTAAATTACCATAGGGATATTATCTCCCACACTGATGACATCACCAGCCAAGGGAGTGCACAGTTACACCAAAATTTAATTAACTGGGATGTGAACCACAGAGGGCGCAACGAGGATATGATTTTCCTCAAAAATATTAACTTGATCCGATTTGCATGTGCAGAAGAGATTATTAATCTTTCCTTTTTTCTTTCTTGCTTTCTTTCTTTCAGTTGTATTTGGTTTCTGTCTATTCAGTTACATAAACTGCAGAAGTGTTAAGTGGGGAGAAAGATCCATCTCTGACAATGAGCCAGGATGAAGTTCCCATCTGCTTCAGCATCCTCACTGTTTTTCTATTGCACTGCAGCTAAGCAAGAAATAACCAGGCATCTAAATCTCTCTGTTAATTGCTCTGTAGCCTTTTTTAAAAAATGGTTCCATCCAACCATGGACACGGAAAACAAGAATCCTTATTAAGCTATGGTTAATAGGGATATTAACAGTATAAGTATTTTTCAGTATGATACATATGTCAGAAGACTTACCCACAATACTGTATGAAAGTCTTGAGTGGAAAAACAGTATAAGAGTTTTTGCAATTCTAATGAGCTTGAAAGGCAATATTTGTTTGGATAGTGGCTGATAGTGTTTCATTGTATGTTTTCTATGCAAGTATGTTTTAGTGCATTGGAGTGTGTTTGGCATCATTGTTGTGCTGAAAAACAAAGCTGTTGCCATCCAGATGCTGTCCACATGGTATTGCTTGTAACGCGTTACTGTAATCTGATTACTTTTTAAAGTAACAAGTAAAGTAAGGGATTACTATCACAAAAACGGTAATTGGATTACCGTTACTTTCCTGTAGGAACGCTGCGTTACTGCGTTACTAAAACCGCGATTTTTTTTTTTTGCGAGAATGTCTCATGACAAGTTCGTGACAACAGCTGTGTGCAGATCAACAATGGATAATATATCGAGTACCGTAGTATGAGCGTGCAGCGTTTAAAGC